ACACACACACACACACACACACACACACACACACACACACACACACAGGCAAAACACATATATACATAAAATAAAAAATATTTTTCATGCACCCGTACATGAATAAACAATTGTTTAAAATAAGAGAGAACACATCCAGCAGAGCACAGTGACACATCACTGTATTGCCAGCACTCAAGAGGCTAAGGCAAAAATATCACCCTAGGATATATAGCAAGTCTCTGTTCTACAAGGCAAATGGAAACATATCCAAGGGGAAGATTTCAGTGCAGAGCATAGCATTCTGTTGCACTTGCTGGGGGTTTATTACCTGCTGGAATTAAAACACAGGGAAGACACTGTTTCTTCCCGGAAATTGAGCACCAGGGTATTTTCAATTGTGAATGTGTGCATTCCCTAAAGGAAATACCACCAAAAGGAGGGCATCTAGTATAACTTAAGTATGATGCCAGCAAACAGGTGCCAACAGATTCTGGGACCAGAAAGAGAAAGCAAGAGTTGCCGTTAAGGTGGGTGTTAAGCACAAACCTTTAATCCCAGCACTCTGGAAGCAGAGGCAGGCTGATCTCTGTGAACTGGAAATCAGCCTGGTCCTACGGAGTGAGTTCCAGGACAGCCAAGGCTACACAGTGAAACCCTGTGCAGGGATCACAGGTGTGGGCCACTGAGCCTGGTTGGGCTGAAGATCTGACACATATATGTCCATTCTCCCTGTGCGCCAACCCCCAGGAGAAGGTATTCCAGGGCCAGATCATGACCCAAAATGACATCCTCCTCCTGGAAAAGAGGAAGCTTCTAGAGCAAGTCACAAATCAAGAAGAACTGATTTGCAGCAACAAGTCCACAATCTCTGCAATCCAGAGCAAGTAGGTGCAATGGCATGGGGGGAGCTCCAGGGGAGAGTTCCCTCTGCCCTGGGCACAGCTGGTTCTGGAGACTGTTTGGGGGGGGGGGGGCTTCTGGCTGTCTTTGAGTCTTGTTCTGCTGTCTTCTGTTGTCAGTAAAATGGCAGCCACTGTGGCATTAAAGAGGGCGTCATGAAGGAGGGAAACGTTTGGCATTGCTGGGGTTGTGTAACAGTGGTAAAGCACATGCTTAGCATACATCAGGCCCCATGATTGATCCCTGCACAGACAGAAAGGGAAGAAAATGTTTTCTCTCTATGTCTCTGATTTATGCCATGTTTAGGGCAGTTTTACTGGATAAAGAAAACCAGCAGTTACAGGAAAACTGCCTCCGGCTCATGCAGCAGATAGGCCTCTTGGAGCGCATCATAAGGAGCATCCAGATTCGAAGAGCAGAGGTAAGATGTGTACTTTGTCTTGGGTCCTCACTCTAAGGTCTGGCTCACTGGTTCACCCTGCCTTCTCTTGGCTTCATTGTCCAAAGCCTGCTCCTAGCCACACGGTGAGCTGTGCAAAGAGGCTCCTCAAGTGAGTCCTGCTCATCTCTGGGTCAGCTTCCAAATCACTTTTGTCCTGCGTGATCCAAAAGCCATCTGTGGGTATGCCTCTGAGCATCTTTCTTAACGTGCTACGTTGCCTTTTTTTCTTCTCTCGATCAGTGACTCAGAGTGAAGTCCTAGAGGGCAAGAACTGTAGCTCATATGTGAGCATATCTAAGGCCAGGAGTAGCTCATACTCCTGTATGAGGGTATAGCTCACACTTGACCGTATCTGCAGACAGGCATTTGTAAAAGGAACTTTTACTCACCTGTTTCAACTGTCTCTGAGGCTTGTTGCCTCGGTCTACTAACCTAGACTGAGTCCTGGACGTTTCTAGCCTCCTGAAAGATCCCCGGAGGGTATCTTCCGTCAGAGAGACCCCCTCCCAAAGAACAACGAGTCCATTCGGATGCAAACAGCAAGAGGCTTTTATTTTGATACGCGAGTACTCAGGGCAGCAAGGTCACTCGGGAGGAACCTTGCGCGCCTCCTTGGGGAAAAACTGGGGTTTTTATAGGGTTTTAGAGCAGAAGCACTGGTACAGAAGCGAGAGGGCATGGTTACAGGGGGCTGATTGGTACGTTTACACGAGACCACAATTTGCGTCAAAGTTTGGCAGGGGCACCAAGATTCTAGGAACTGGGTGGTCAAGGGGGGTAGGATGACCCCTTGACGTGGCCCGCCACCTGTTATTTTGTTTTTCCCTATCTTAGCTGAAACAGTCTCACAGATATCTATGAGAGTGATTAACACAAACTGTTTTTAGTATGACTGGGGCAGCCTGACCACAGATATCCCAAGTGGGTGACACAGCTAGGATTTCTCAGTAATTTTCCAGTTTCTCATCTGGCCTTCAGAGTTTTACAAAACAGTGGTGTCCCACAAAATGGCGTTAGCTATGTTTAACTTAGGGTGAGGCTGGGGTCTTTCACTCCGAACAATCCATCCTAGGCCTAGAATTTTTTTCAGCCTCTGAGGCTTACTACTTAGTAAGCTCACGCCTTCTTGTTCTTTCCACACTCTGGGCTGGCTGGTTCAACTCAGCTGTTCTGGCTCAAACTCCTCTCCCAGCTGACTTATTCAATCTGGCTTTCCTCTTGGCCCCTGAATTGTTCTGCTTGGCCTCAAACTAACTCCAACAATCTTTTTTCCCAGTGATTTAATTTTATGTGCATTAGTGTGAAGCTGTCAGATCCCTTGGAATCAGTGGCACAGGCCATTGTAAGCTGCCATATGGGTGCCAGGAATTGAATCCAGGTCCTTTGGAAGAGCAGACAGTGCTCTTAACCACTGAGCCATCTCTGCAGCCTTCCAACAGTCTTTTTTTTTAATCTTTGGGCTCATTCTCTGGCTTGTTCCATCTTCACCTTTGTTTTTTTCTCTGCAACCTATCTCTCTATTACTGTCCCTGTAAAGCTGCCTGCCTCCTCTCTCTGCATTGCCCCTTAAGTAGCTTCCCTTTCCTCTTTCCATTTCCTCATGTCCTATTCTGCCAAATCTTCTCTGATTCATCTCTTTTTCTGCCACTGAATTAAACATCACTTTCAAACATAGGTACTCCCTTCTACAAACTTTGTTTACCTTCATTGTTTGGGATTAAAGGCCACCACACCTGGACCTAGGCTTTTCTTTACCTGAAACTTGCTCTGTATCAGGCTGGCCTTGAACTCAGATCTGCTTGCCTCTGTCTCCTGGATTAAAGGAGTGTTTGTATTCCAGCCAGATCACACAGACCTAGAAGTCTTTGGATGTGATCTCTTGCCAGAGCAACTATGTTCTGAATTAAAATTTCTCTACAGACCTCTAGGATGCTTTGAGAATAAATGAATGCTAAATGCTTGCCCAGATACGTCTCCCTTCTGAACAACTCTGTTGGCAGCACAGTGTTCTAGCCCTGTTTGGAAAGAAAATGGCAAATCTGAAGCTAGTTTGGTCTACTAACAATGCCCCAGCCCGCGGGGCTTCAACGGGGTTACTAAGGTGGAGAGATTGGAAGGAATGGAGGGGTAGGGACAAGAGACACAAGAAATGAAAGCCAAGTCTGTTTGTCTGATCAAAGGTTCCATTTATTAGAAATTTTTACCCAACTTATATAGGGAGAAGGCAGGAAAGGGGGAAAGTTAATCTACTGCTGCAGGAAATAGGAAGAGTGCTTTCATGGGTTAAATATTGTACCTGAAAGATACCATAAGGATGGTTTCTAAAGATATCTTACAGATGCTCTAACAAATGGATGTCCTCACAATCTATCACCCATGATTTAGGGTCTTGGATAACTCTTTCACTATATAGCTTTAGGTCTCCACTAAATGACCTTTGCTCTCTACTTGGCTTTGGCTTCAGTAACTACCTTTGTCTCCATTAGATAGCTTTGGCTCACTAATTGACTTTGGCTTCAGTAGATACCTTTGTCTCCACTAGATAGCTTTGACTTTGGCTTCCATAGATAGCTTTGGCTCCCGGCAAAACAAGTCAAGACTAAGGAGAGAAACTGAGACAGAGAAAAACAAGCATGTTCCAACCTCAAACAGACAAATAGTCAAGGAGAATTGCAGAGAACAGTATAGGCTCCGTCAAGGTCCAGAGGCTGGCTGGTGAAGATGGAGGGACCAGTCAGCAGAATCAGATGGCCCCAGGGTAGAGGCTGCTTCCTCCCCTCCCTGGCGTGCATCATCGCAGGATGTTCCTTAGGAAGATGCCTCTGCACAGATCTGGCTACAGGGCTCTATTGCTGTAGACCTGCACCTTGTTTATTCTCACAAAGGTCACTATTTCTAAGCTACACAAGGTGTTTTCCGGTCATCCACACAGAACTGCCAGCTGATGGGACCTGATTGACAGTAGTTTCTCTGTGTGCCTGAGTAAGTTTTTTTTTTTTTTCAACTGTCTGATTCACTCATTCATCAATCATTAATTCCAGGAACTAGGCTGGAATACGAAGAGAGTCTGTGTTTTCATATGTCTTCACTCCAGTACAGAAAGGCAGACACACGTGGAATGAATGGGATAGGCTTACAAGTCAGAGTTAGAAGACTACATGGAGGCCTGGAGAGATGGCTCAGAGGTTAAGAGTATTGCCTGATCTACCAAAGGTCCTGAGTTCAATTCCCAGCAACCACATGGTGGCCAGAACCACTGTTCTGGTGCCTTCTTTTAGCCTGGCAGAATACTGTGTAAATGAATACATGGAGGTTGGACACAGTGGCTCTCACCTGTAATCCCAGCACAGAGAAGGGTAAGGCAGGAGGATTCGGGGTTCAAGACTAGCTTTTTCTGCCTAAGGATTTCAAGGCCTTCCTGAGGTACATGAGACTCTGGCTTAGTGAAATAACAACCGAGAGGGCTAGACTGGTAGGGTGGCCTTAGCCTGAAGACCTGAGTTCAGTCCCTGGAATCCATATGTCAGAGGGAGAGAGCCAAGTCCTCTGGCCCCCATATACATACTAACTGATTAATATAATGTTTTTTAAAAACCAGGCTGGGCCAACAATGTATAGAGTATAATACACACACACACACACACACACACACACACACACACTAAACATAATAAAAAATTAAAAAACAAGGCTAGGCTGAGGATGCAGCTCAATTGGTAGAGTGACTATGTAACATGCATAATGCCCTACCTTAAAACAAAATAAACAAAAAGCCAGGCATGGTGGTGCGCATCTTTAACCCCAGCTCTCTGAAGGCAGAAACAGACCGATCTATGTGAGCTTGAAGCCAGCCTGGTCTACACAGCCTGGGAAGATCTAGGACAGCCAGGGCTACACAGTGAGACCCTAGCAAAACAAAACAAAATAAAGCAAAAATAAATAAATAAACAAACAAACAAACAAAAAGGCTGGGTTGCCAGCTCAGTTGGTAAAGTGTTTGCTGTGTGACTCTAAGGACCGGAGCTTGGTCTGCAGCACCCCAGCATGTGAAAGCTAGATGTGGCACCATGCCTACACTGTGCCTGTGATCCTAGAGCTGGTGAGCAGAGACCGGAGGCTCCTCAGGGATTGCTGGCCAGGGTTACACAGTGAGACCCTGTCTCAAAATAATTACATAGAAGTATACTTAATGGAGCATGTGCTACAACTCACCCCTTTGAGGGCCACAATCTTATCTTCAAATCAAGATAATGTCCTATGGTCACAATTGTACTACACCCAGCTCCACAGCCTGAAGCACTGGCATCTCAATATTTTTGGAATAAACAACCCCAAAGTTCAACTCCTGTGTTTTATCCAGAAGGGAAATAAAACTCGGAGAGCGCATGTGATGTCTGTGGCCTCCCTTGCAGCTGTGCTCACGTCTCCCAGCCCGAGTCTCAGTGATGAGTCTCACCACCCTGCCAACAGTCCAGATGTAGGGCTTTGAAGTCAGATCTATCACCGATCTCTTCCTTCCTTAGGTTCAACGCCTCAGTGGCTAAAAGGACGCCCAGCAGGTGCTGTGTGCTGTGTGCCTGTTGCTAAGCTAAATGCGTTGGGGTGTATGTTAAGTGTGTTTATTATATTAAATTCCTCATCAACCTTGAAAAATTAGACACTGTTATCATAACATCTGAGATACAAAAACCAAATTCAAGTAATGCATGTCACAGTGTCACCGAGAGACAGGAGCTGGGTCCCCCAGCTCTCAGCTTAACAAAATTTCTATTTCATTATTACTTTCTCTGAATGTTTTTTTTTTCTTCCACATAATGTTTATGTGACACTATTCCTGGGAGATGTCTACAAATGTCTACTCACCCTAGGAGACAAGTTCTCCAAGTCCAAGGCCAGGCTGGCCTACAGAGTAAGTTCCAGGACAGCCAGGGCTACACAGAGAAAACTTGCCTCAAAATACCCCCTTAAAAAACTCTTTATTAGTCAGCCTGTGACTACACTGGGTGTTCTGGATCCCAGTGTAGCATACAGCCTTTCTCAGAATGAGGTTTTAAGCACAAAACCATGTCCTGGGTAGATACACTTCAGTTAGCAAGAACAGTTAGCCAGACAGAGAACTGCAGAAGCAAGGTTAGTACATTTAGAGACTTTCCCAGAACATGGACATTGATGGAGCAGGCCTTTGATTTGTTTAGGTAGGTGGTGCTGTCTCCATGCTGAGTTTTATGGACTGAATGGTACTTCCACCGTGGACTCAGCTATGCTGAGGTCTGGGGCCCCGTTAAACCCCAGAAGGAAATCAGCAACAGACCAAAGATTGGATATCACCAAAGCCCATCGTGGGGAACCAATGAACTTCTTAGGGCTCTTTATAGAAGTATGGGTGAGAGGTTACTTCCAGGAGCAGAAATGACGCAAAGGCAAGCGCATCACCAAAAGCCCACCGCACCATGGGAAACCCGGAGCACGCCATACAACCTGCAGGCAGCTCAACAGGTGGGAGAGTCTCCCCCAGGCAGTTCAGCTGGTCTGATTGTGCCTCTTAGTAGTTTTCACTAGTGTGTCAGCTTGGAGATTAAGGTCAGCGTTAGGGACATCCTGAAGCTTTTGAGTTGTTTTAAGTCCTGAATTTAAAGCACTTCCCTGTGGGATGGTATGCTTCTTCTCCCTTTAGAACATCCTGAATCTTAAGGAGCAACCCTCTAAGATGGAATGTTTTATCTCTTGATAAGCATATAATTTCCCTCAGGATTGCTAAGAATTTCTTGTATAAATTACTTGGTCTATATCAAAAGTTACACTGTGATCCAGTTCAGGGAAACCAGTAAACCCCTGTAAAACTTGCTGCGTTTGTGGTGGTTTGAATAGGTTTGGCCTCCATAGACTCATGTGTTTGAATGGCCCACAGAGAGTAGCACCATTAGGAGGTGTGGCCTGATGGGAGGAGGTGTGGCTTTATTAGAGAAAGTTTGTTGCTGTTGTGGTGGGGCTTTGCGGTCTTAAATGCTCAAGTACAGCCCAGTACAAAGCAAAGCCTGTCTCCTCCTTGCTTCCTGTGGATCAAGATGTAGAACTCTCAGCTCCTTCTCCAGGCCCATGCCTACCTGCATAGTGCCGTACTTCCCGCTGTGATGATAATGGACTAAACTGCTGAAAGTGTAAGCCAGCCCCAATTAAGCATCCTCCTTTACAAAAGTTGCTGTGGTCAAGCCAAGACTGGTAGTACATGCCTGTAATCCCAGCATTGTAGGAGGCAGAGGCAGGTGGATCTCTGTGAGTTTGAGGCCAGCCTGGTCTACAAAGTGAGTCCAGAACAGCCAAGGCTACACAGAGAAACCCTGTCTCAAAAAAAAAAAAAAAAAAAAAAAAAAAAAACCAACATGCTGTTCATGTTGGTTTTTATTTTGCATCATTATTATCATTCTTAGCACTGTTTGTTTGAGGGAGGGTTGTGACAAAGCCCCCTACTCTGTAGGTCCCAGGTGGACTAGAATACACTGTCTAGCCCACGTTAACCTCAAACTCACACTGATCCACCTGCCTCAACCTCTTGAGTGCTAAGACTATAGGTATGAGCCACTATGGCTGGCTTTAATCTTTTTTTTTTTTTTTTTCTGAGAAAAAACATTTTATTTGTAAAGTCATAAAGCTCACAAAAAAAGATATAGAAGGAACATATGCTGATATGATAAAGGCCATGTATGACAAATACATAGCTAACATGGTACTCAAGAGTGAAAGCTGAAAGCTTTCATCCTAAGGTCAGAAACAAGATAAGATGTTTCTGCTCTAAGTACTTCTGTTCAGTGTAGTGGTGGAAGTCCTGACAGGGCAATTTGGCAAACACAAGAGGCTTACAAATAGGAAAGGGAGAAGTGAAATTGTCACTGTTGGCTGATGATATGATCTTACTTGCAGACAATCATAACCACGCCATAATCCCTCTAAAATAGAACAAGACAGGAAGACAGTTAAGTGGCTGGATCATGTGAAAACCAAGTATTTCAGTACACTAATAATGACCTATATGAAAAGGAAATCAAGAAACAGGTCAGCAAGGTGGCTCAGCGGGTAAAGATGCTTGCTGCTAGGCCTGACAACCGAGTTCCATCCCTAGGATGCACACGGTGGAAGGAGAGAACCAGCTCCCGTGAGATGTCTTCTGATCTCCACACAGGAACCAATAAATGAATGTAATGGGAAAGAAAGTCCAGGAAATAGTTGGTGGTAGAAAGCTTGTGCGGAATACTCAAGCCCCTGGTTCAATCACCACCACTCCCTCCCCCCTCAAAAAAAACATTTTGGGCTGGGGATATAGTTCATTTGGTAAAGTGCTTGCCTAATATGCACGTGGCTCTTGGTTTTCTCCCCAGCAATATGTACACATATATGCAATAAACACGTAGAATGTATATGCTATATACATACGTATATATGTATATGTATGTGTATATATACATATATATAGAGAGAGATGAGAGATGGGAGATGGGAGATTGGGGAGAATGGAGAAAAGAGGAAAAGGAGAGGTAAGAGCTGTGGAGACACATTGACGGGGAGGGCAAGCAACTTTTCATTCTGTGCCCCTCTGTACTTTATATTGCTTATATGTTGTTTGCAGGCAGTAAATTGGTTTTATGTATATTTGTCTATATACCATAAATTGTAGGATCATATTTGCCAGTGGCTTATTAATATAAAGATTGAATAGGACTGGAGCAATTGCTCAGTGGTTAAGAGTATTTGTTGTTCTTGCACAGTACCTGGGTTTACTTCCCAGCATCCACATCGGGTGTCTCACAGCCACCTGTAACTCCAGTTCTAGGGGTTCTAACACATGTACATACTTACACAGAAAATTGTTGCAGGATATTTGATCACACTGTGAACCCTGAGATTGTATACTAGAAAAACCTGTTTCTAGTTGGATGTGGCTCAGCCCTTGCACACACCTTTAAGAGCTTTCCAAGAGCTTTCTGTAAACAGGATTAAATAAAGTTGACCGTAGGCCAAGAGTCAGAGCAAGCAACCAGTAGACAGGGAGTGAATATAGAAAAAAACATAGAGATTTACACAGGAAGTAGAAAGGAGGGACATCCAGTGTGAAGAGTTTAAGACAACGTAGAGAAGGAAAAGGGGCTTTTTCTTTCTGTGATGCTGGTTGAGTAGGAAGGTCTGCTGGGTGCTTTCTCTGCTTCTCTGAAATAGCAGGCTTTCATTTCACCACAGCATCTGTCTCCTTAGTCTTTATTGGTAAAGGAGTGGGTTTTGTTTAAGAACAACACAAAACAAAAATAATAAATCTTTTTAAAGATACTTTTTTTTTTTTTTTTTAGGAAGCAATCATCAGTGACAATGCTGCATTTGAAATACTAAAAAAGATACTACCTTTACAAAACTCCAGGTGGGTTATATACATCAGGATGGTTATCATCTGCACATCTGACATGGCCCTTTACTGGTTCTGAGTGGCTGGCTTGAAAACACACAGTTTTGAGGTGTATTGATTTGTTTATCTTTTAGCTAAACATTTAGCTTTTGAGTCTGCTCCCAGTCCTATAGGATACCAATTTGAGGCAGGATAACCCATGAACACAGACTTCAGATAACCTTTATTTTGTTGTTTTCTTTGATTTGACAGCTGTAAAATGCTAATGCCCTATGAGTGCCATAGACCCGTAGCCCTAAACTTGTACCAGGAAGTTCTATGTATGTTGCTGTCCTCACACCTGGCCTTTCTCAGTTTCTCAGGAACAGGTCTGGTATTGTCAGTTGAAAATCTCCAGGAGACTGAGCTGTATAAGTCGGAAGGAGCCACAGCACCCCCCCAAGTCCCCTGAACCTCTTTCATGTTCACAGACTTCAGAACATGGATACATAAATGTGACTTCTCTAAAAGAGACATACAACCTACAAGGGGACCAAACTCCAGAACTATGATGTCCCTGGAGTCTAAAAGAATACCAATTGGCCCTGACTCAGAGCATGGATACGAAGGTGCACATTGACCTGGAGAAGCCTCACAGAACACCCTGGACATCAACAAAGAGGCTTCAAAATTGCTGAGTAAACAGTCATTAAAAACTTTCTTAAAATGGAGTTATTGTTTGCTATACTTACTGATTTTTTTTAATTTTTTTTGTCTCTATTGTATGTGTATTGATGTTTTGTCTTCATGTGTGCCTGTGTACACTGTGCATGCAATGTCAGGAGAGGGCATTGGTTCCCCAAGACAACTAGTTGCAGACAGCTGTGAGCTGTCATGTGTGTGCTGGGAACCAAATCCCAGTCTTCTGCTCAGCTGTGTCTCCAGCCATAAGAAGATTTAAAAAAAAAAAAAAAAATTTAATAATACTCCACCAGACAAGATTTATGTGTAGTAAGCACAGAAAAATGTTCTCAGCATCGGGTCATGGTGGGGAAGGGATTGACGGATAGTGAGAAGTTTACTTACGTGCCATGCAAGGGGCCGTGGAGTGGGCAGTGAGAAGAGGACACTTGAAACTTACAAATTCTTAGCGCAACTCATTTCTCTTTGGAGTTAATCTCTTATTGTACTTATTCAAATAGGTGTTTGTGTGGGGACCTTTTTTTAACATTTATTGATTGAATGATTGAGTGATTTTTGTTTTTTTTGAGACAGGGTTTCTCTGTATATCTTTGGCCGTCCTGAACTCACTTTGTAGACCAGGCTGGCTTCGAACTCACAGAGATCTGCCTGCCTCTGCCTCCAGAGTCCTGGGATTACAGGCGTGTGCCACCACTGCCTGGCAATAAAACATTCATCGTAACACAGTTTTGTGTGTGTGGATGTCTGTGTAGAGGCGAGGCTCAACACCTCTTTTTAGGATTGATATTTGTGTTTTGTGAGTGCACATGTGTGCGTATCTGTGCACATCTGTGCAAGCACTGAGGCCAGAAGACGTCAAGTGACTTCCTCTATCATTTGCCACCCACTACTCCAAGACAGTCTCCCTGAACCCGGAGTTCCAGTTTCTCCTATCGGCTGGAAGGCAGTAAGCCCCAGTGAACATCCTGTCTCCACCCTCCTTGGAGCTGGGATTACAGGAATGTGCAGGATACCCTCACACACCCATACCAGATGCTCTGGTCCTCCGGACCCATCTCTCCAGCCCCAGTTCCAAAAAGACATGGCCATCAACCCATGCATGTAATTCCTGCATTTGGCAGGCTGAGGTAGGAAGATGGTGAGTTCAAAGCCAACCTGTCACACATAGCAAGACTGACTCGAAATTTTAAAAATAATACAATTTAAGGTGAATAAAAGATATTCCAGGAAAGGCATACCTAGGCCTTAGGGAGCGCAGCCATCTAATGACCCCCAGAACAGAGGCAGAAGGGTAATTGATAAGAGTGAGTGGTACGAGATGACGCCAGGGGGTGGTGGGCAAATGGGTGGCATTTAGGACTTCGAATACACAGCTGGACTTAGGTTAAAAACGCAAAGCCCACGCGTTTTACAAGAACAAAGGTTATTTTAAAGCCTCCAAGTCTCTGCGGGAAATAGGCTGGAAGCTTGCCACAGAAACGAAATTACATTTCCAGCATCCCGACTGAGCCAGCCTACATAAAATTTTAGAATACTGACAGTGACCTCGAGGGTCGTCCTCGTGTGTGGCTTCCCCTCTGCGCTGTGGCAGGGGACACGCCTACACTCTCTTCCCCGAGCACAACGCGCCATCCCCGAAATCCCTCGGCCTGCACCACACTTCCGGGGCGGGGCGCAACCGCGGTGGGTTTCCACAGCGCCTGCGCTTTGGGTGAATTCCGCAGGACCTGACACCGGAAACCGGGCTTCTACTACCGGGTCAGAGCCATGGCGGTGGCAAATTCAAGTCCAGTCAACCCGGTGGTGTTTTTTGATGTCAGCATTGGCGGCCAGGTGAGGTGTGGGCGGCCTGGCGGGCTTGAGCGGGCCGGCAGGACTAGTGTAAAGGAGACAGCCGGGGGGTTGGCGGTGAGGAAGGGAGTTCCTTCTAGCTCTCCCAAGACAGGCTGGGCCAGGGCGGGCAGAGGTGGGAGCTTCTGAGCTGCGTGGACAGCGGTCGTGGGCTGAGCCTTGCGTCTACCGTCACTTGCAGGAAGTTGGTCGCATGAAGATCGAGTTGTTTGCAGACGTGGTGCCTAAGACGGCCGAGAACTTTAGGTAAGGAAAAGCTCCAGCTGAACCGGAGTAGCTGAACCCGAAGCCTGCGTCCATCCATTCACTGCCTTGGAGCCGAATAGCTGCCGGGTTTGACCGATCCCGTGTCAATATGTATTACTAGTCTGCGTGCCTGCATGCCCTGACATCCGACCGACATGCTAGCTGCAGTGTTTGTACTTCCCCTCCAGAGCATGGTAACTGAATCGCTCTTTCTTTCCTTTTAGGCAGTTCTGCACTGGAGAGTTCAGGTCAGTCACAGATGTGTTTGGCCCCTCCGCCTAATCCTTAAAGGCGCTCTGGAAGTTTGGTGAGGGTATTGGAGAACCATGGGCAGGTCTTGAGTGATGGAAGATGTTATCAATCCACAGGGGGTCACCTTGGATGTGTTCATTCTCTCTCTTCCCCCAACCAAATCTTTATGAGAGTCCTTTTAGTCTCCAGTGTGTCCTAAACGGGAAAGACCCATGATTATTTGTCATCATTCCAAGTCTCGTCCTTTTTGGTTACAGAAAAGATGGTGTTCCAATAGGATATAAAGGAAGCACCTTCCACAGGTAAGGTTTTTGACCAACTGGAAATGCAGTCCTTGCTTGGTATTTGTATAGGGAATCCTGTACAGAACCAGTGGGGGATTAAGTCTGTTGTTTAAAATGGCATGTTCAGGGCTAAGGCTGCAGCTTGGTGGTAGAGAATTTGCCTAGTGTGTATGAGGCCCTGGGTTCAATACTCAGCACCATGTAGCCTGTGCACGGTGCCTTAAATCATCCGTAACTCTTTGTAATACTGTATTGCAGAAACAATGACAAGGAATGCACTCTGTGTCTGTCCCCAGCCTTTATGTGGGTGCCAGGGATTAGAACTCAGGTCTAATCCTGAGGTCCAATCAGTGCTCAGCGTAGCAAGCACTTTACGCACTGAACTGTCTCACTGCCTCCAGGTTATGATTTTAGCAAAGGCTTTGGTGATAGTTACTGCTAGCTGTAACTAGCCTTGGCTGTCCTGGACTCACTTTGTAGGCCAGTCTGGTCTTCAATTCACAGAGATCCACTTGCCTGTGCCTCCCTGAGTGCTAGGATCACAGGCCTGCACCACCTACACCTGGCTTATAACTGTTACCTGTAACTATTACCTGCAAATAATAGTCATCTGTAGGAACTGGGCCTTCATGATCTCCTGGCTTTCTATTTACCTATTTTTGTTAGAATTTGACAGAAGTTGCTCCATTTTAACCTTGAAATTTTCCATGTCACCCTTATCGAGGGTATTAGAGCTACGGTCTTTAATCCTCCTAGCATTCATGTGAGGTAGAATGTGTTTTCCACATTCTTCATGGAAGGAACCTGAGGCTAAGAAAAGCGAAGGACTGTACCTGGGTATACTAGCTATATCATCAAGCCCATGTGTGTGTAGTAGTCCATTTCACATATATTTGCTATTATTCTTGTCCCCCCAAATGTGCATTAAGCCCTTGACATGTTTTTTTGTTTTTTGTTTTTTGCTTCAGTGAATATGTTGGTAATTCTTCCTGCCAAGTTTCAGCCCTTTCTGTTGTTCAAGTGCTAACTCATGCGCCCAAGATCAACTCGAGGGTGCCCCTGAGTTAAAAAGTGTTTTTGTTTGTTTGGCTGGTTGGTTTTGGCTTTGGTTTTTTGAGACAGAGCTTCTCTATGTAGCCCTGGCTTCCTGGAACTCACTCTGTAGACCAAGCTGGCCTCAAACTCACAGAGATCCACCTGCCTCTGCCTCCTGAGTGCTGGCTTTAAAGGTGTGTGCCACCACCACCCAGCTCTAAAAAGCTTTTTATGGTTAGTAATCCCTCAGTTCACTCACTCCAGGGATGAAACCTCATTCTGTAAGCCTCAGTGATAAATACTGTACTTCAGCATAAATGCTAATCTACCATTTCAGTGACCAAATCACTGAATCTTTTCTTAGGATTTTTTTTTCCTGTTTCAGGGTCATAAAGGATTTCATGATTCAAGGTGGAGATTTTGTTAATGTGAGTACTGCTTTTTTTTTTCTTCTTCTTCTTCTTCTTTTTCTTCTTCTTCTTCCTTCTTCTTCTTCTTCCTCCTCCTCCTCCTCCTCCTCCTCCTTCCTCCTCCTCCTCCTCCTCCTCCTCCTCCTCCTCCTCCTCCTCCTCCTCCTCCTCCTTCTTCTTCTTCTGTCTTGACATTTAAGAATGATAGCTAAGTCAGCGGAGTGAGCGTGGACATGAGATGTGCTGTAGAACTGCTGGCTACCACTGACTGTGTCATTACAACACGTATCAACACTCAACTTGAATCGTTAACTTTCACTGTCCAAGCCTTAGCCTTTGGGAATAGAAATTGGACTTTGCTAGCATACCTAGAGATGATCCAAGATGATCCAAACTCATTGTTCCCAGAAAACTTTGAAATTGGCTGGAATATTTTCCTCCCAAAAGGAAGTGAGCTGGTTGCTTATGGCCCCCGTTTTTCCTTCTGGTGTCACTGTCTAAAACTCTAGGGTTTTTTGTTTGTTTGTTTGATTGCTTTTCTGGGTCGTTTTTCCTCTTGAAAGCTGAGGTTTAATCACACGCTGGTTAGTAGTCAAGAGATCAGATGAGGAGAGGCAGATAGTTCAGAGAATGTTCACTCTGCTTGCTGAGGTAGCCCATGGGATCTGTCCTTCACTGCTGACCATGACTTTTTTGTGACCATGTTATTTGTGTCCCCATCCTAGCCTTGGAGTGTGTCCAATAAGCTAGAATTTTTCTTAAACCTTTTTTTTTTTTTTAACCCACTCACTTCTGTGCATGCTTTCTTTACTGTTAATATTGCTTAGTTGGTTGTGGTGCTAATTCCTTGTGTTTGAGAGATGTTCTTTCTCTTTAGACATAAATTTAGTTAGGTTCTTGTGAGTTTTTAAAAATCTTACTCCTATATAGGGTTGCAGTGGCAGGTTTTAGGCTGAATCCTGCTTTCACTTATGCTGTGTTTCAACTATGTGGTACTACTGGGAAATTTGGGGGACTGGGGAGATGGCTCAGCAGTTAAGAACACAGTTGACCCTTCCAGAAGACCCAGGTTTGATTCCCAGCCCCAGAGGCCAGAGGAAGACGTCAGCTGTTCCCTGTCTGTCACTGTCTCGCTGCCTTGAGACAAGCTTTTAGATGAAAAGCTGCATGGTTGCGTGAGATCAGCAGGCCGGTCAGCTCCCGGAATCTGGCCGTTTCCACCTCTTAATGCCGGCTACAGGCATAAACCGCCATGCTGGCTTTTCTTTACTCTTTTCTTTCTCTTTTTTTTTTTTGGGAGGTGGGGGGAGGCCTGAGGGGGTGTCCCAAAACAGGATTTCTCCATGTAGCCGTGGCTCTTCTGGACTTGCTTTGTAGACCTGGTCTTGAACTCACAGAGATCCACCTGCTGCCTCCCTGAGTGCTGGGATTACAGGCATGCACCACTGCGACCTGCTCTTTCTTTATCTTTTTCAATGTGTATGTGAAGGATTTCAACTCAGGTCCTCATGCCTGGATAGCAAGCAGTCTTACCCACTGAGCCATTCTCTCCAGTCCCATCGTCTGGTTTCCAGGGTGCCCAGAACTCCAGGCCACTAACATGTCTCTCTTCTGCTCAGGGTGATGGTACTGGAGTCGCCAGTATTTACCGGGGTCCATTTGCAGATGAAAATTTTAAACTCAGACACTCGGCTCCAGGCCTGCTTTCCATGGTAAGTGAGGTTCAGGTTCAATTTCCCAGCACCCACAGGCCAGCTTGCAACTGTCCATAACTCGAGTTCCAGGTGTTCTGGCATCCTCACACAGACATACGCGCAAGCAAAACACCAATGTATGTAAAATAAAAATAAATAATAAACAATTAAAAAACAACAACCAAAAAGATTCGGGGTTAGATTAATGGCTGGTTTTCAGTGCCTTGTTGAGGCCCAGCCCGGCTCTTGGAATCCATCCTCACCTGCACCTAGCCTCTCCTCCTTCCTTAGTCTACTTTGATTTTTTTTTTTTTTTTTTGGGTGGGGTCTAGAAGCTGTAGAAGCAAAACTGAGCTCTGACCTGTGTTGTTGCCTTTATTCGTGTGAGAATGTTTGCTTGGGCTTGTAGCCTCAGTGTTCGGGGGGTTCTAAGACTGCTACTCAACTGCTTGCTACCCTGGTTGCCAAATTCACGCACTGCAGTAGCTACAGGCCGGCCATTCCCTTGCTTTTCTCTCTCACCTGCTCATGATTTCCATTCCCGCATCTTGATGTCTCTCCCCCATTTCTAATCCCTCCTCAGACCTCTTCATACCTTATCTTACCCACCTCAGCTCATTGCTCTCCCATTTCACCTTGCTCACCCTCACCCTTCCTTTCTCTTACTCCCTTTTGTCCCTCACTTCCCACCCCCACTACCAATCCCTCCACCGCCCCACTGTTCACCTCCTTGGTGCCAGCATTTACATGTATGTTCTCTCTCCTTGTGTATTCTGCCCTCATCTTCTCAAACGTTTATAAAATGAAAATTTATTCACAACTGCTCCATGCAGGTCTCAGGGTAAAGCATAAGGACACAGACACAGTCCATGCCATTGTGACATGTATTGTCTAACAACAAATGCACACACAGGTAACTAGTCCAGTGTAGTGTAGTTTGTGGCATCACTGCAGTAAGTGTGCACAAAAGGACCCTAATGGCCTGCAGAAGTTAAGGTGGTTTCTGCTAGAAATGAGAGTAGCCTTCCTAGAGGGAAAGAATGGCCTGAGTCTTTTTGGGAATTCTGTGCCATAAGAGGAAAGCATTTCAGGCCTAGTGGACAGGCGGTGCAAAATGCAAGATCACACAGAAGCACAGTGGCATGGTCAGGGACAGGGCAGGTCATGTTTGCTTTGCTTGACTCTCTTCTGTTTTTGGTGTGCTGCAGATTAAATCCAGGGTCTTGAACATACTAGGCCCTATCCTAGCCCTTTGCTTTATTTTATTTATTTGTTTGTTTATTTTTTTGTTTTTTCAGCACAGGGTTTCTCTTTGTAACCTTGGTATTTTAGACTTGCTTTAGACCAGGCTGGCCTTGAACTCACAGAGATCTGTCTGCCTCCGCCTCCCTGAGTGCTGGGATTACAGGTGTGCATCACCGAGCCCAGCTCCCTTTGCAATTCTTTATTTATTCTTTTTGTTTTGAGACAGGATCTGACCATGTAACCCTGACTGACCTGATGAGGCTGGCTTCAAACTCAAGTAGATCTACCTGCCTCTATGGCTCGAGCACCACCACACCCAGCTTATTTATTCTTATTGTGAGTGTTTGTGGGTTTGTGGTGTTGTGGGTGTATATTCCCAGTGTGCTGGTGTGAGAAGGTCAGAGGACAACTTGTAGAAGTCAGTTCTCTCCTGTCTGCCTTATGTGAATTTTAGATGTTGAACTTAGGTTGTTAGGCTTGCGGGGCAATCCCCTTTACCCTCTGAGCCCTCAGGACAGTCCCTCAGCCCTCCTTTTACTTTTTACTTTGAAGCAGGATCCCACTCCATTGTGTCAAATGGCCTTGAAGTTAGCCGGACAAGGTGGTGCACGCCTGTAATCCCAGCAGAGGCAGGTGGACCTCTGTGAGTTCAAGGCCAGCCTGGTCTACAAAGTCCAGGACAGCCAAGGCTACACAGAGAAAGCCTGTCTCAAAAAACAAAAACAAAACAACAGCAAGAACAAAAAGAACAAACAAAGTAGCTGGGCTTACATGCCTGCCTCACCAGAGCCATCTGTAGCATAGTTGTCTTTTCTTCCCTCTTTTTGTGAGTTCCTCAAAGACAGAGATAGATTGCTTGATCTCAAGGCCCCCCTAACTCCCACAGAAAGATGGAGAGCAATGAGAGAATAGTAATCAGAATGACATCCAAAAGTTACTGGGCACTTACAGCACCTTACCTGCCTTAATTCGTCTTAATACGGAACCTCCCTTTGAGATAAGGAGCAAACTGAAGCACAGGCAGATTGTATCAGCAAACTAAGATCATACAGTCACTGGGGCAGTTCTGGGGTTCAAGCTGAGTCATCTACTGCAGGGCTGTTCATAGGCTGAGCATACGCTGCACCACCAGGAAGGAGAATAAAGACGTCTGTGAGGACAGAGGATATTTATGCCACAAAAATGTGCTGTATTACTGTTACTGTGTCTGTTTGCTAGCTCATGATTCTGTAAGCCACAGAATAGAGATAGATGGATTGAAGGCCCTGAGAATTGTGTCTCATTCCAGAGCATGAGTCTACTGTAGCTGGATTATGGGGGTCAAGAGGGAGTCCTTCACTTTTCATACATGAAATGTTCAGGAACATATGTAGAAATATCATGGTTTTTGTTTTGAGATGTGATCTCACTGTGTAGCCCTGACTGACTTGGAAGCTGCATAGATTAAGCTGATTTCAGCTTTTCTCCATCCTCCTGCTTCTGTCTCCAGAATGGTTAGATTACTAGCGTGTGTGAGATCCTAAATTCAGTTCTCATCATGGTTACAGGAAGAACAAAGGGATTTCAAAAGTGTAGTATAAAATCCCAGATTAGAGGCAAATCCACATGTTTACCAGTGCTTCATGCTTGAACATAGAACTGGACATTTCAGATCCATTACACATCTAATTAGGGCTAGTGGCCCATTCAGTGCTAGTCCTGCTCTTGGTGATTCTGTAAAGTCTGTCCCCTCACACCCCCAGGTTGGCATTGAAGTCTCTGCAGTAATTTCTATGAAACCCATTTCCTCGCTGCAGGATAACATTGAATTTGTGGCTCTCTTCCCTTGGTCGCTGTTCTGGGATTACAGGCATGGATTAAGGCAGAGCTTTGGGAACTCAGTTTAAGTTTTAAGTGTGAAAGTGGATTTAGCAAAAGGCAATAATGATTACAGCCTGTTCTTTTATTCTACATTATTGAATACATTGGTGTGAAAGTTATTTTGAAGCTGGCATGGTGCACATACTTGATTTCTGTGCTGAGGCAAAAGGATCTTAAGCTGAGGGTAGTTCTGTCTCAGGACTGGGGATATAGTCAGTGGTAGTGTTGCCTAGTGTGTATTAGGTACCACAAAAAGCCCAGGCTGGCATCAAACTTGTGGAGATCCCTCCTGAGTTTTAGGATTACAAGAATGAGTTACCATGCCAGCCTGGGCCACAGAAAAGGGACCCTATTTGGAGGTATAGGGAGAGGACAAAACAAAATGAAACTGCCTCTGAGCAAACAGTTTCTAGGGAGGAAAGTGAAAGAGATGTGGCTACAGAGTTTCAGATTCTCCGCAGGGCAGGGCAAGGGCGGGCTGGGTTGGAACAGTGCCCCAGCAGGTTGCAGGAAGCCCTTGGTTGCTCTCCAGCACTGTGTAAACTAAGCATGGTACACCTCTATAATCCCAGCACTTAGGAGGCCGAGACAAGGGGAACAGAGCATCAAGCCCAGCCTAAGCTACATAGTGAGGTCCCGGACAGTTTGGGTATGTGAGACCCTGTTTCAGCCCCCTCCCCTATCAAAAAAAAAAAATCAGCAATGAAAATTTGGAGCCAGGTGCGGTGGTACATGTCTGCAATCCCAGCATTCTATGAGGCAGAGGCAGGCTGAGCTCTGTGAGTTTAAGACCAGCCTGGTCTACAAAGTGAGTCCAGGACAGTCAAGGTTCCCAGAGAAACCTGCTCTTAACAAACAAACAAAACAAAAAAAGGTATAGGACAGTGCAGGGACTAGAAAGATTGCTCAATGGGTACGATCACTTCTGTTCTTGCAGAGGACCCAAGTTTGATTCCCAGCACCCAGATTAGGTGGCTAACAACTGTTCCTGAGGATCCTTCCTGAATGTGGTACACATAAAGTTACCACAGGCATACACATATTCAAGAAAATAAATTTTACAACATTGCAAAACCACTCCTGACAGCTGATTCCATAAGCAATGTTTCTTGTTAGCTAGTAACTAATTTGTAAATATAGTCCAGTTGTAACTAATTTGCAACTAAATTCAAGTCCTATAAGGAGGGCAAGGGGTTGTGTAAAAGATAGCTCAGCAAGTAACAGCAAGGGATAAAGATACCTGCTGCACACACCTGAGAACCTGAGTTCAATCCTGGCCCATGTCAAGGCTGAAGTAAAGAACTAAGTCCACAAAGCTCTTCTGTGACCTCACACATTATGTGCGTGCGTGTACACGCACAGATACAATTTTAAACATTTAAAAGAGCTGGATGGTGGTAGTGGTGCACCCCTTCAATCCTTGCACTTGGGAGGCAGAGGCAGGTGGATCTCTGAGTACAAGACCAGCCTGGTCTACAGCTCATGTTCCAGGACAGAAAAAACCCTGTCTCAAAATACAGAAAAAGAAAAAAGGGGAAGGGGAATCGTTTGAGAAAAGTCAGAGAACGAGCTAGAGAGATGAAAGGATCTAATAGCAGAGAATAAACAAGAATAAAAGATAGATAGATAGATAGATAGATAGATAGATAGATAGATAGGCAGGCAGACAGATAACTAAAAACTTAACTAGCTCTTGTGTTGTCTGGTTTTAAATGAACACTCATTCCCATTACAAGCCTCACCCTGGGGCTCCATGGGTAAAGGTGCTTACCACCCATTCTGATGGCCTGAGTTCAATCCCTGGGGCCTGTGTGAATGAAGGAGAGACCCGACTCCTACACAACCTGACACCAAGAAGACTGCATTGATTGCAGAACTTATTCTGTTCATGCCTGTGTCCTTGTCTAGGCCTGGGCTCAAAATAGGTGCTTAGTTAGGTTGCAGTTAGAGCTGCAGATTTTGTGGGAAATCTTGCCCTAATATGGCCAGATAAACTTACTGCAGGTGTATTTGGTTTCTATCAGGCCAACAGTGGTCCCAGTACAAATGGCTGCCAGTTCTTTATCACGTGCTCTAAGTGTGATTGGCTGGATGGGAAGCATGTGGTGTTTGGTAAGTCTTCCTCCCAGCCCATTGACCCAGTCAGATGACTGTCTTGGGCCTGCCCCAGGATCCAGTCTCCACACTCACTAAATGTGCTCAGCTGCCATAGCTGCTCTAGGCTAGGGCAGATGGACATGAGGGGCCATGGGGGAGGCAAGAGTATTCCAGTAAATACACATGAAATAAATAATAAATGCCCCAGCTTCCTGATGCAACTTCATGAGTTGGGCTAGATGGGGAAGGGGGCTTTCCTTTTCTGAGGATGGGGGGGGAAGGTGAGGCGAGGGCCAGGGAAGATGGGACTGGGATGGGAGGAGGGATGGGGCTACAAGGATGTAAAGTGAATATATATATATATGTGAAAGAAGATATATTTATATATGTATGAAAAAGAGAGAAAGAAAAAGAAAAAGAAATGCCCCAGAGGCAGCATGGAGGAGTAGGGTTTTAAAGTCACTCAGACCCAAGCCTGTACCCTAGCTCCCTTTGTTTATTCCCTGGCTTTCCTCACTGGACCTCAGTTTCCCTACACCGTAAGGGGGTCTGCTGAGATGCTGAGAATAAGTGCAGGAGCTGGAAAGTACTGCTAGCCCCGCAGAGAAAGCCTTGACTTAATGTTCTTCCTGCAGGGAAAATCATTGATGGACTCCTAGTGATGAGAAAGATTGAGGTAGGTCTGGCTGGGGTACCCTCGTAGCCTCTCTGGTCAGGTGCCTTTTGCCTGTTAATGAGGAGTGAGGGAAGGGTAAATGGCTCCAGTTTACTAGATACACCTGTTACTGTCGCAGTTCTAGGCCCCATTCAGTAACCCACCCAGTACCTACTGGGGTTTGCCCTTTGATCCTGATGCCCACTTAATAAAATTCCACTTCTTGGCATTACATTCAGAAGCCTTCATGAGCTGCACCGCACCTGCCCCTCCATGACCCCTCTGTCACTGCCTCCTCTGGACCAGTGGCATCAAGCCCCTGGCTCTTCTCTAAGGAGGTCATACAGGTGCGCACCTCCTGCTCTTTCCTGCCCCAAGCCTGGGCTCCAACCCTCTCTCTACCTGAAGAGTTACTTCTTTGGGGTCTTACCCACTATTCCTGGCCCAGTTCAGATGCCCCCTCTCCTGTGAGGACTCCTCAGTAAGCGGGGTCCCTGGTCAGAGCTCCTGACCGTTGTTCCGCTGTGGGTCTGTGGCCACATGGTGTTCCTTTTCTCTTTCATCTGTTATAGTTTACCATCTGTCAGGACACAGACCTCACATCAGTCTGGTCTCGGGCCCTTCCATAGGGGATAAAAGGTTCCTTGAGGCACCGAGGAAGACCATCTCATGTTCTTGTGATTTGTTTTCTAGAATGTTCCAACAGGCCCCAACAATAAGCCCAAACTGCCAGTGGTAATCTCACAGTGTGGGGAAATGTAATCTAGACCAAGACTGAGCCAGGTGAGTGTTCTCTTCTTCATGGGGAAGGAATCATGGCTTGAGGGAGACTTTCCACTCAAGGATGTGCATTGAGTCCTCTCTGCATGTGAGCCTGGAGCAAGCTCTCCTTCAGAGTATGTTTTCTCAGCTTTCTGTCAGGAGACAGTGTCAACCTTAGGGTCACAGTGAGGAGCAGAAAGGATGGACCCTAGAAATACTCCCTTTTCTGCTGCCTCATACAGTGTCACCCTGAAAAGGACCTGTCTTTCAAGTGACTGGAGTCAAGCACTGGGACCAACCTGAGGAGGCAGGAGACATGTGCCATGCTGTCCTCAGAACTGACAATGGTGTCGCACCTTGGAAGTGTGGGCCTCACATGTAGCTTTCACAGGCGCCTTTCCTCCCAATACCTGCCACTGGCTGCTCTGCACTGGGGCATTCTGAAAAAGAATTTAGAGGCAGGCACTCCCAGGAGGGAAGTCATGTTCTCAGAGGTGAATGCTAGTAATGCAAGTGACTTGGCGTTACAGCACGCTAGGGGGAATGGGTCAGACAGTCCACCTCTGTGAGAGGTCACGGTTTTTCCTTTGTCTTTTAAATTTGTTTTTCAACCTTACAAAAAAGTTGGGAAAATGTTGATTAATTGTCTGCAACTTCAGGACAAGGGTCACCAGTACTTGACATTTGCAGTGGCTGTGCTGTCTCCTCTCTTTATTCCCATGCCACATTCACTCCTCTTCCTCTCCTTCCTGCCCTTATAGCTTCTTGTTCTCATTCTAAAATTGCAGACCTTGACACTTCATCCTAAGCACTTCAGGGAGGAGCCCCTAAAAATGAGAATATCCTAAATAAACATAATATTTGTAATACATTGTACATATTCAAATTTGCCAGTTGTCTCTAACGTAACTTTTAAGTTACGCAAATTTGTAGTTCTGGGAGTTAAACCAAGCTTGGAGTAGTAAGGCAAGTACACTACTACTGAGCTGCACCCTCAGGCCCACTGTTATGGACAAGGACACACACACATGTTGGCATACTTTAGTCCCAGCTACTTCAAAAGCAGTAGAGGGGGCTGGAGAGGTGGCCCAGCCGTCAAGAACTCTCTCCTCCAGCACCTGCATGGCGGCTCACAACTGTCTGTAATGCCAATTCTAAGGGATCTGACACCTTTACACTAATGCACACAAAATTAAGAAAAGAAAAAAAAAAGGCAGAAGATCACCTGAGAAGGTTTAGAGAACAGCCTGAGAAAAACAGAACAAAACTTTCACCAAAGTCCTCAAATTTCCTGTCCTGATTTTTGTTTTTTTAATCTGAGTGTTTTCTGTGCATGTATGTTTGTATAACACTTGTATGCCTGGTGTCCACAGAGGCCAGCAGAGGACATAGATCCCCTGAAGTGGAGTGAAGTGGTTGTGAGCCACCATGTGGTTGCTGGGAGTTGAACCTGGGTCCTCTGTAAGAGCGGCAAATGCTCTTAATCACTGAGCTCTCTCTCCAGCCCCTGGTTGTTATTTTAATTACACAAGTAACACAGTACAATTTTCACGTGAAAACTTCAACACCAAAGTGATAAGGTAGACACTGCTCTTCCCTCCTGGAAGCATTCCGTTGTCAGGCTGAGGTGTGTCCACTTTTTCTTTGTCAATCTAATTTTTGGGGAAGATTGTTTTTTTCTTAAATGACATCATCCTATAGTATTTTTCTGTCTTTTTTCTCTCTCTCTTTTGAGTTGCGTATGTGTATGTGTGGGTCTGTATGCATGGGTGTAGCTCCCTAGAGCTTGTTTGTTATAGGAGTTGTGAGCTCCTAAGTGTGAGTGCTGGGTCCCCTGTAAGAGTGGTAAGGCCACCTTAACCACAGAGCCATCTTTTCCAGCCCCTTGAGGTACTTTTGTTTGTTTTGTCTCTTCATATTTGACATTGTGTCTTGAAAACTTTTCCTTTTTAGTTCATATAATACTAACTTATGTTAAACAACAACAAAAAAAAACCCTAGGCTTGTGAGGTGGCTCCTTCCATAAAAGTGCTT